CCGCCGCCCCCGCCGCGCCGGCACCGCGGCCCGGCCGCCGGGGCCCGCCGCCGCCATCTTCTCACACTTTGAAGGGACAGAACGTTGGGGCGCGCGCGGCCCCGCCCACTACCCACATAATTCATAAGGGGGCACGCCCCCTCCCCCCCCCGCTTGATATTCAGGAGCACCGCGCCCCGTCAGGACACGCGGGCCCCGCCTCCGCGTCGGCCACGCCTCCTTGTTGAATATTCATGACCCGGCTATAAAAGGCGGGGGGGCCGCTTCCTCGTCCACTCAGTAGCTGTGAGGTGTCGGCGGGTGAAGCGGTTGCGCCCCCTCACAGAGGCCGGTCCCGGTGTGAGGGGCTGCGTGGTGGGAGAGTGGCCCCATGAGGAGGGGCACTGGCCCTGAAGGAGGCCCGCGTCCCCTCCATCGCCCCGGGAAGGGCGTAGAGGACGGTGGCTGTGTGCTCCTTCAGCGAACTGCTGTTCTCTAGGCTGTTGGGCCGCCATGGGGAAGATCCTCCGCACTTGGCTGTGTGGGTGCGATCTCTTTTATTTCAGCCTTGCCGGATGCTTCGGTGAAGGGTGTAATCTGGGGTTGGTCCTGCTGGCCTGAGTTTTCACGGAGCTGCTTCAAATCCCTGTGGTTTCTCAGAGGTTTTAAGACCCTCCCTCTGGAATGGGGCCCTGAGCAGCCCCAGAGCGTGTCTGTGGGGCACGCATGGCCCTCTGCCTGCCTCCAGCTGCTTCCAGCCTCCCCTTCAACCGTCTTCCAACAACATGCAGCGGTGGGTCTTTAAAAAGATGCCACAAAATCCCTGTGTACTAACAATCCTTTTCTGTCTCGGTTTGCTGTTACTTGCAGATTTTTTTTCCTTGTACCCACAGCACATGCTCCTCTTTGGATGACTCCTCAGTGCTTCTTGAGCATAGCTTGCCCCGGACACCAACAGGCCAAGCAGTGGAGAACTCCCATTCAGCTTTCTGGCTGGCTGTAAACACCCAGGAGCTCCAGAGATCAGCAGGTTATAAATTGGCAAGGACACAGGGGCCAGTACCACACCAACCCTTTAGTCTAAGCCGTTCTGGGTAATATCTGCTTGTAGGTATTCAGTCAGCGTTTTTGCTCGGTGGCTGCAGCACTCAGTTCCACAGCCATGGGGTTTGGAGGAACCCAAATCCCTGACATGCAGCCTCGGGCTAACCCCTTCTTCCCAGCCTCACAACTGTGTCCAAAAACTTTCAGGTCACCCCTAACCCATCAGTTTCTATTGCTGCGTGAAACGGGGACTTAAAATTAATCTCAATTCTTCCACTTCTGCTAAATAACTCTCTGAGGAGGGGCAAAAGAGGTGGTGGGGCAGGTCCTACTCTTGCCTAATTTAGGGTGTGAGCTCCTGGGAGGTGAGGGGCAGGGAGGTTTAGGAAACCACATCATTGAAACGCTGCACTTTTACACATGGAGCCTGTGAAGCTCTGTTCCTTGTGGATTGTCCAGTGTCTAGTAATGTACCCCATTTAGTGCAAGGCACTAATTTACATTTCTTATACCTAGCTCCCATGTGCACAGAATATTTTGACGTGCAATATCTTTAAGATTTCTATCTTTCCGTCAGGCTAGTTGAAAGGTTCAGCTGATTAAGAAGTCATTAGACCTGCAAGGCCTCCTTGGCCCAAGCTAAGAAACCGGGCTAAAAATCTTAACGAAGGTGTGTTCCTGCCTATGGTGCTGTACGGAGCCTTGCAGCTGAATGGACAGCACTGCTGTACATCTGCTGCTGTCAGCATTTGAAGGTTTAGTGATGCAGAGTTGATTATTTTCATTAACGACATTTAACAAGTACTCCTCAGAGGCTTAATATGAGGAACAGTCATTTTTGAAGGAAGACCGATAGCATTTGGCCTGCAGCATTAAGTGATTAGCAAAAGAGGAGGAGAGCTTCAAAGCTCATGGAACAGGCTGACAATTTAACAAACAGCTTTTACTGAGAGAGAAAGGCTTTAAACTATTTTCCTCCTGAGAGGTGCCACATCCTATGGGGGAGCCTCGGAGGAAGAGATGCAGAATCACATTTAATCTTCATGGGGATTTTTTGGGGAAGGGAGGCTGTGGGAAAGAGGTTGCAAAACAGAGCTGGCATAGCAGAGCATATGCATCCAGAGTGGGGTGGACACGGAAAAGGAAGCAGCGAACAGCCAGGCAAACAGGCTTTGAAAATAAGCAAGACAGTGAGGCGTGGGCACGAGCAGGGGGTCCTGGCTGTCGGCTGGGATGAGCTTGGTGTGTACAGCGAACCCCAGCTCCATGCCTGTGGGGTTATCAGCTGCTTTAGGAGTAGATTCCTGGGATCTGTTTCACAGTGGCTTCCCTTTTCCCCTTCTTCCTCCGGGCAGGGTTTGTAGAGGGACTCTCTTCCAGGAGGGAAGAGATGAGGAGAGGAGCTGTGGCATCCAGATGTACATGCTTTCCTCAGGAATTGGGGGAATGCAAACCTCCCTGCTGCGTTGCTGGTGACAGGGGACTAAGCTAAGTGGCTGATTATTAAAGACAAATGCTATGTGGAGTTTCAGATCCGTGTGATATCACGTCCCGACATTGCCCAAGGGGGTGCAGGACTCATGGAAAATCGGGCTGGCAAGGTCCCCAAGGTGTTATTCAGTCACCCCCTTTCCCTGCAGCGGGATCAACTCAGCCTGAGTCACTCCTGAGCAATGCTTGTTCATCCTGTTCTTAAAGACCTCCGGGACTGGCAACCCACCTCCCCTCAGTGCGGCGACTGGCTGAGCCTATCCCTGTCATCAGAAAAGGTTGGGTTTTTTCCTTTGTTGGACATAAATCTCCCATAATTCTTGTCTTGGTGTCTCTGCTGGCCCCGTTAACCCTCATCCCTTCCTCCTGCCTCAGGCTGGTAACAGAGGAGTCTAGACTAGGAGCTACCTTAGCACAGCCGCTCCCTGAGGCCGGGGTGAGTCAGATCCCAGGGAAGGGCTTTGTGTTACACCCCAAAGCCTGGCTTTCCCTATCCTTCCCTGTGCCAGAAACTGCGGGGGGGAAACAGCCTCCTTATCACTTCCAACCCCAGTCAGGTCTGCCCTCGGCCATCCAGCTCTTTAAGGCCACATCTGTACTAGTCAAGTGAGCACAGGGTGCATCCCCAGTGAATTGTTGGAAAGGTCTTTGGCACAGTTTTGGTCTCGAACAGGCATGATTTTGGGGTTACTGGGGCCACAGCTTATTCTTCAAAAGTGGTTTAGATGTGGCCACTCTGGGAAGGACGAAAGCTCTTAACAGTGTGACTTTAGCCTGGGTAAGGACTGTTTAATTTGTTAGCAGCTGCAGGCTCTGTCTGTAGAGCCACAAATTGCTGTGACATGTACCACAAATGACATGGCACTCTGGGAAGGAGTGGGAGCGGGTGGGTATGCAAGGGTGGCCATGCTGAGCACCTTGCTGCCACTGCCTCCATGCTGTCAAAATCCCACCCGGTGCCTATCTCTGTCTCAGACACCTAAATTGCTTCAAAATCTGGGTTCCTCATGATGAGTCTGAGAGGGATATCTGCTTGGAAAGCCCACCAGCACACCTCCGAGCTGGCCTGGTGTGAGTGAGGCCGCATGCAGGCTCGTGAGGTTGGTTGACGGCTTGTTGGGGTGTTAAATGTGAGGAGTGGGAGATGCACAGCACCGGTGCAGGCAGGAGGCCTGGCCATCTCACCACTGCTGACAGGTACGCTCATCCTCTTCTCAAAGGTCTCCAGCAGTGAGGACCCTGAAGCCTTCCCAAATGACCAGTCCCAATCTTTTAGTATCTCACACTTTTGTCTGAATTTCTCTTATTGAAACTTAAGCCTGGGATTTGCCTGGTCCCTCTGGGATGTCTGCCCCTACCCACCATCCTGTCTGAACAAGTATTTGTTTCTGTTACATATCTTTATGATAAGTAGAAGAAGAAATCTCAAACAACAGTGCAGCTCAGAAAACATGTTTCTTCTCACAGGGCTGCCCCAGCCACAGTCCTGCTTTGAAGCCCCCTGGTTGCTGCCCCTCCACTCTCTGTGCTTTCCAGCCTGGCTGCTTCAGCAGCTTCCCCCAGGACACTGTTTTCTACCAGGTTCTTGTTCAGGTGTGCAAGAACTTCGTTCTTAGCCCTCGGCTTGGCCAGGGTGACTTTATGTGTGGTGGTTTTGTTTTTTTTGTTTTTTTGTTTTTTCCTGGGAAGAACAAAGGTGCATCAAGTCTGTGTGTGGTTTATTTTAAAGTCAAATGGAGCTCTCCTCTTTTTGTGTATTGCCTGACACACAGATGTTAGTAGTGCTTGGGCTGGATGTCACCCTGATAGCGGTTGTACGTAGGACTCTGAGAGCATGACTTGGCTTTCCATGTTTCTACACTCAGGGGCTTGAATCAGCTTGAAGAAATGATTTTTGGGGGGCATTTTTAAGCAAGCCTTAGGTTCAGAATCCCCCTCCCTTCAGAGGATCTTGGTGCTTGCTTTGGCGAAGGAGCTGGTGCAGGGGATTTCTGTCTGCCTGGCTCCATCACATGCTCACCGCACCTCCTTTAAGGCCATCCCTTTCCGAGCGGGGTCAGTGATCATACCAGCACCCCTGGATTATCTGTGTGCAGGGAAGGTGAATCGGAGGAGGCAGAGCCTCTGCACTGGTTGCTATGGAAATCTCTTGTGCTTCTCTTCTGCTTTTCATTTATTTGCTGGGGCACTAAAACAGTCTGTTTTTTCACCATATTTTAGTGTCAGGTCCCTCTCTGATGAAGGCTCTCGTCTACCCTAGACATTGGGT